TTGTGCCTAAAATTCTCCACCCCCCTTTCCACCTGAAGAATGTCTACTCGACTCTGTGAAAGGAGTTGTCTTTGCCCTGCACAGTTGATTTCTTCATCTGTAGCCCACAGAAAAATTGTAAACCATGCTTTCACAGAGGTAGCAATTATAGAATTCAGATTATTTTTATACTTGTTTGTTTTCCACGTCCCAGCATCACTCTCGTTAGATTTGCATCTTCTTGAAGGCAAAACATATACTTCCTTTGCACTAAACAATAGTCTGCTAAGTAAAGGCAGAAATAAATGAATGAAGTACTCAAGATGCTCTGTGCTTTCGTTTTTAAGAGATATGTTTAGGGGAATATAAGTGTCACTTTCAGAAAGTTATGTGTTCAATTTTCTCTTATTTACCATGTCTAGCATGAGCACCACTGTATATATGAACCTCAACGGCAAAATCAAGCAAAACCAAGGGAGAGGAAAAAAACTATTATTTAAAATCATACACAAAGTACTTATTCAGTTACAGTGCTTTTACTATCGAGACATAGCTTAAAATAGAGTTTTAAGAAGTCTAATATTGTTTAACACAGTTATCTGAGAAGAACAACATCCTTTTCAAAGGAAATATGTATAAAAATATCCATAGTCTTAGCTGTACAAAATCCCCCATCATTCTTTAATGCTTTACTCTGCAGAATTTATCGCCTCTCCAAGAAAGACTTTTAATATTATGCAAAAGAGGAGTGTTTCCAGAACTACCTAAAATGACATATAAGATGAATCCAGAAGGAAGAGCTTAAACGATCATGTGCTCAAAGTGAGGGACGTAGCAATAGACTCAGAGCGGGAAGCCATCAGTCCCCAGGCATCCTCAGAGAATGTAGTCCTCGGGCTAGGAGCTGCCTGCAGGTTTTCATTACCAGCATTTTCCCGTGTGTCCCTAAATTTTGAGGGAAAAGCAGCATTAGTGGGTCTTCACAACGAGTGGAAACAATTCAATTTAATGAGGTCGAAAAAAAAAATTGAACAGCATAAGTTCCTATGAAGTGGAATCCCTTCAGGCAAGAAATGCCACCATTAAGGTCTCTCCAGCCTGGGGACCTATGCTACAGGTTAACAAGTTTACAGAAACAATCTCAGCAGAATACAGCTAAGGTTCTGGTCCTTCTGAAGAAATGTTTGTGAATAGTCCTCAGAATGAAGAGGTATGAGGGAAAGGAAAGAAGAAAGTGAATAGTTAGACTTGGGGCAGATGTGAATGGAATGGGGATCCTCATGTCCTCAGAGACACTCATTGTCTGACAAGAAGAGATTTGTGAAAAATACACACGTATTCCTAAAATTTCAGCCTGTTGGTAACATGACAAGCAAAAGTCCAGGACCACAATATGTGTGTGTATACATACACACACACACACACACACATATATACTATAAAGAGAGGAGGGACTCTCTCCTGTAAATGAATACTGTAAGGAATCTTTTTGCTTTGTTCTAGTTAACCATCTTTGCTTAGATAAAGGTTTTAATTACGTGAATACACTATGACACTAATGAGAAATAACCTGGACTCAAGTGATTCTTCCCAGTCGTTCAGAGCCTGGGATATTTAGAAAACTAACCCACTTGTCTACTTTTCTGCAACACTCCTTTGTGACTTTATTTGATTACCATCTTAGGAACTGTCATGGTGTAAGCATTAGGACCTGTGATGGGTGAACTTTGCTTGTCCTTTATCACAACGGCTGTAACGCAGTGGAACTGCGCAGTCGCTTCTGCGGTGAGGTGTGACATTTTCTTCCCAACTGAATTTTGCATAAAGGTTAACGCCCTTTGTTTATGTTTTCTTTCCACAAGCATCCTAGCCTCTGAAACCGTCCGCTTCAGCAGACTTACTTTCTTTTTCCTCTCTCACCTTTATTTGAAGACTTGACTAACTTTCCTGTCCATTTTGAGAATGGTGATAATAATTTGAATGCTGACATTCTCCTTGGGTGAAAAATGACTGGTGCTCAAAATACTGCATCTTAAAGTTATGATAAACAGCACTATTTCTTGAAAAGAAATGTATAGCAACTCCAAAGAGTGAGTAGGTTTTCAAGCTAAGAATTATTGTTGTCTTATTACACCACCGAAAATATTGAGATGATTGTAATAAAGTATATAGGAACACATGAAAAATACGGCCATTTGAATGATGTAAAAGTGATAGTTTGTATTTCTCAGACCCCTCCAAAAAGCTTATTTCACTTTTAACTTATTTGGTAACACCTAGAATAAGAAAAATTATATGGCTACCTTCTGAAGTGCCTCTTCTTTGTGAGGAAGTGCTGTTTCCTTAGAACTGAGTTGAGCCTTGAACGACCCTGGGGCTGGGGGCTCTGACCCTCTACCCAGTGGGAAACCTACATGTAACTTTACAGTCAGTCCTCAGCAGCCACGGTTCCACATCCACGAATCCAATCAACTGCAGATCCTGTAGTACTGCAGTAGGATGTAGTGACACAATGCACGTATAAGTGGACCCATGCAGGTCAAACTCATATTGTTCCAGGGTCCACTGTGGTTAGCCTCTGATCTGTTGGTAATGGAATTATGGGTAGTCGTTATTTTGCCAAATCTTAAGCCCATATGTTGTTGTGGATCTTCATGCCCCAAAACGATGTGTCAATATTTCTGAGAGTGTCTAGGGGTTCTCTAAAATAGGCTTAATAAATGCGATACTTCTTTCATCATGTATTTTTCTTGTTTTGTCTTTTCATTTCCCTCTGCTATGTTACTTTGTCTTCTAATGCACCACCCTCAATGCAGTGGAACATAAGAAGTTAGAAATAGCATGCAAAGTGTGAAACCTTTTTCCACTTTTGGTACTACCCTCTATTTGAGTGTCACTTATGTCTTTTATGGAATATACAGTGTTCAGTGAAACAGCTCTTTCGGGTTTTAATGACAAGTCTGACTTTTCTTCCCCAAGTTAGCTGAGTTCAGTGTGGAGCTGAGTTTGGACATATCTGAGTGACAGGGAGCAAATTGTACTCTCAATTGCTCCTCTTCTCTTTTGGTGAAGACTTCATTACAGCAGCAAGCTTGTCACGTCTGAATATGTCTTTCTTGATTGGAGGTTCTTTCTTATGAGGCCCCTTAGTACCGTAACCAAGATAGACCTCAACATCTCACTATGTCTGGTGGGATCTCAGATATGAGGATCCTCTCCCGCCTGCATTCGTTTGGAGTCAAATGGTTCCTTAGATTCCACTAGTTTAGTCTTGTATTTTATATTTTATGTAAATAGCTAAAGTAACTCATGGTCAGACCATGTGAAAGGAAGTCTGACTGAGTGGTATGGGCATCCCAAAATTGTCATGATAGCCATGATGAGTAACAAATGAGCAACTCAAGGTTTCAGATATGATCTACTCTTGAAGGACATAATGACCTTTGAAGACTTGGGAGCACCTTGAATGATTGGTAAATTTTTTTCAATGGTGATAGCATTTTTAGAAAAGTTACAAGGATGTAAATGCAATTAGAAAACTGGAAAATGATTTTGAAAACTGAACCAGTTTGAACTTACACATTAAAGTGTCCAGAATATTGGAAACCCTTAAGTGTTTCAGTCTACTCTGTAGCAGAGAACTAAAAAAGACATGGCAGTCAGTGCAATTATCAGTCCTAACTTCCATCAGTAACACAAGAAAGATAAAGTTGTTCTTTAATGTTTGTCTACCTCTCAAATCACTTTTTTTCTTCCCTCAATCTCATACCAAAGGGTCCAAATGCATTAATATATTTTCTTGAATGTCCCAAGATCCCTACTATAAACCCGTCATCTCTAGGCAATGTCATTATACTATGGTGCCACCCTTCTATTCTGTACCCTATTAAAAACAGATTTCTGGCAATTGGACATGTTGAAAATGTTTGAACAACAAATTTGTATCTCTTCCAGGAATGTTTGTTATACAGTGGTGTTCCACGATTTAGCTTGAAGGCGCTCTGATGTTGAGATTTGGGATATTAGAGGTGGATTGATGTGGGCAGAAGTATTTTCTCATGATCTACCAAAGTTCATGAACATGGTAGTCAATATGATTTCTCCACATTCACTGATGCCATTCAGGACACACTGCAGTTGGGGACTGTATGTTTATCAGAGAAGGAATATAACATATTAAGAACATGAGATTTGGAATCCTGGCTCAACATCTCCCACTCTGTCATCTTGGACAAGTCTTGGTATTTCTTTAGTAAATAAAACATGTTAGTAACATCTACGTCATGGGGTTCAGCCAAGAAAAGAAATGAGGTATTGTAAGTTTGGATTTTTTATGAACTATTACATGCTACATTGAGAATGGACCAGTACAGAGGATATAAGATTTGATTTCCATACGTACCTGAGTATAGAGAAATTCCATAATAGGCATATAAGCATTTTATAAAATAATGTATGCATATGAATATTATTACCTAACCTCTCTTTTCTATAACAATAATCTTTTTTTTCACATTATGGTTTATATCAGTAGCCTTGGAAATTCTTAGTTTGCCCATTTAGGGTAGAGTTTCAGAAGGCAAGCTGTAGAGAGGAGAGACATCTTTAAGTACTTTTAAACCCCTGCATCCCAGCTCTCCTAGACTTACATCTTTCAGTGAATGAGTGTGATTCCAAGCCATTTGGACGGACATAGATGAGTATATCTTGAACAAGAAAATGACCTTATGGTTGAAAAGAAAACTATATGTGCACATTTCTACAGGCAATGATGACAGTCCCATAATAAAACAGGGTGGGGCAAAAGGAAA